TGAGTTATCACCATATTATTGGATGATGTGGGGGATTTTTAAATATGAGATGAGATGAGTTGGATGATGTGACATATTTCTTGTGTTTGGTTTATTTTTACAAAAACTTTGTTTGTCTCGTGCGTGATGCATCACGCGCGAGACAAATAGCACAGCTCTTACTTGAATATGAATAATTAATTAGATGACTCTTCATTTGTCCATGTCCTTTAGTTTTCTTATTATTTATCTATATAATGTATGTCATGGACTACAAAATGTATGGAGGAATGAGGAAGATGAATAAAAATGAGAATCACTTTTCTCTCTATTTTTTCTCTTGTCTATTTACATTTATATTTTATTTTTTATTCTTACTTTTAATATATATGATGTATGTAGATACAACAACAAGATTACAACAGATCCTATAATTAATATTGATTATTGTTGAAAATTTATCCATGCCAGACAAACCTCAAACAATCTAGCGGCAAATTTGAGGCATCCATATCAATGAGAAGAACTAGATGTCAAATCACGTACGGCTACAACTTTAGCGCAGCTCCGTTAAGACGCCCGTTTACGACATTAGTTAGGTCTACAAAGACGTAAAAGCCCCTGTTATTTAACACTTTTGAGTAATATTCCTCCTCGTAATGATGACCGTACAGGGGTTTTATCGTCATTTAAAGTTACAAAAAAGCAGTTTTCCTGCTGGCCTCCACCGTACACTCAATTTTACGGAGGATAACGCCTGACAAAAATCTTGAAGACGATATTACCCCCAGTAGCTTAATACACCGACGAACATGTTCTGGAATCGCTAGAAGCCATTAGTTTCCGTTTTTATTGCGGTTCCACCCCTGACAACATTATGTATTGCAATCTTACATTCTCGGCTTCATTGGCGTCTGAACTGTGAAGTGTAAAAAATCCCACAGTTAAAGGAGGAAATTAATTCAAGAAGATTTGAAGAAAGAATAAAATAAATAAGAGTTGGTATGAATTATTTCAACTTTCTGAGCTATGTGTCATTTTTTTGTGTTATGAATGTTTCTTAGCTTAGGTATTTATTACTTTTTTCTAGGAGATAAAGAGAGGGAGAGGAAAGAGAGCGCACATTATATATGCTATTACTTTGATCTACTATAAACAATACATAGAATTAATAAAATAATTAAAGTATAACCATAAACAAAATATTGAATCAATAAGAATAATATAAAATCAATATAATTATCACGTTGAATGTATTAAAATTATGATGCATGCTAATTTATACTTTCCTCTGTTCTTTCCGAACATGTGTTACATTTATGACACAAAAACCACATAAAATTATTAAAGTAATGAAAACTATGGGGTGTTAAGGGCATGTTTGTTTGCATGGAAGTAATTTTAAAGTAGCTGAAGTAAATGAAGTAGATGCTACTTCTGCTACTTCCAAGCAAAAAAATGTGTTTGGCTTTCTGAAAGTGTGTTTGGTTTTCTAAAAAACTTACTTCCAATACTTCCTTAAACGTTTATGTGGCGTCCACGTGTCATCCTTACTTTCAAAATATTTTTTCAATCCTCAATACTTAGAAGTAGCTCGGAAGTAGTTGAAATAAATATTAATTAGAAAATAATTAATTTTTTATTAGTTACTCCTAACAGCTTTTTATTGATAAAATTACTCTTAATTTTAATAATTATTTTATAGTAATTTGTGATGGTCATCGGGCAGTTTTTCTTTGGGATAAAGAGAACAGTTTGTCTATTAATTCTTTGTCTAAATGCCACGTTGATGTTACGATCAAAGGAACGAGGGAGGAGAGAAATTGGAGATTCATAGGAATTTATGATTATCCGGATTCTCATCGTAGGCGAGAGGTAAACAATTATTTTGAAGCTATGTGGTTGAAGGATTTTTCTTGCTCTCAAGTGGCGAGGGGTCATATCGGCATGAAACTTATTGTAACGTGCTAGATCAAATTAAAGAGCGTGGTATGGTTTTGAAATTGTAGAAACAATATATGTTAATTACTTCCTAGTAATATTTCCAAATGTTATCCAAACAAAAAAAAGTAAATAAAGAGGAAGAAGTTCTATTTCCCTTACTTCTAAAAATATATGAAACAAAAAAAAAAAAACTATTTTCACTACTTCCTACTTCATAGTTTTAAAAGTTACCTCTATAACCTACTTCTTATTTCTAATACTTCCATTATTCAAAAGGCCCCTAAACATAGGTTCATTTTTTCTAACTTTACTCTTTGATGGGTTTTAAAGTATTCTAAATTGTGAGATTATTTCTTAGGCTTTTAAAAGGGTGACGCGTGTGGCTAAAAGACGGGTTCTAAAAAAAAAAATCATTGCATGTGAAAATTTATGCCCTTAACTATAATCAACCATCCACAATTCTCTAAATTCTGAGGAAGCGGCCTGCAAAAAATAGTCCAATGGCGGGGGGGCGGTGTCTTCTCGACGGCACGTGTCTCGCACGTGTCGCCATACCCGAGCGCTCTCCCATGCAGCGGATTCCAAAAGCAATTATTAAATCGGATACAACCAAACCGCACGCTAGGTGGGCCCCACCTCATCCTGGATAACTATGTCAGAAGCGGGGACCACCCTAACAGTCGCAGTAGCTATAAAAACAAATAAAAACAAGTAAATTAAGGAAAGCATACTATAAATATTCAAGGCAAGCAGTAGAGGAGCTGGACCGGAAAGAGCAAGAAAAAAAGCGCCAGGGCTCTCTTCTCCTCTTAATCATCTCATTTCTTGCTTTCCAAAAAAAAAAAAAAAATTGTTGCTAGGAATTCTTCAAGATCAAGGAAACTTGTTGAATGCAACTGATCAGCTAGAGATCAGGTAACTCGATGTTTTTTTTTAATTTTTTCCGATCTTTTTGTTGATACTATACTTTAAAAAGATCAAAGCAGTCTTACTCCCCCAATTCGTTTGGAAATTTGAGCCTTTTAGGCGTGGATTAGGGAAAAAGTAAAAGGAGGAGGAAAAAGAAAAAGTTTGGATACCACAACAATAAGCGGCAAATTGTGAATGGTCGCGATAGAAATTTTTGTCGGTTGCGAAAATGACAGTGGGTGATAATATGCGAGCCGAAAGAGGAAAGTTAGGCGTCCATGTTTTCTGGCTTCTCTCACGCGTTTTCCGTGAGCGGCAATATGAAAAGGAAAACGATAGGGGCACCCCAACCACAACTCTAATCTTAACTTTTTTTTTTCTCGGAAAATGATAGGGACACACTTCCAACCACATCCTAAACTATACTCCTTTCTCATATGCTACAGTACGCCGGGTCAGATTTTAAAAATTTAAAATCTCATGTGGAGCCCGATGTATTGGAGCCCGGTATACTGTAGCATATGAAAGAGGAAATATGGTTTGGGATGTGGTTTGGGGTGTGTCCCTACTACCACCTTTTTTTCTCTCTCTATTGTTACAGTGCACCCGTCCTGACATCAGGCCGTATAGTGCCACTCATACGAAAAAGGATTTCTTGATTATCCACTGTTTTCACTGTTTTCTCTTTACTTTTAGACATCACGTCCTATAGTGATATTGGTCGATGACGGTCATCTTTTCAAACGTTGGTCTTTGATTTGAAATTGTTCGAAAGGTGGAGGCACTGATGGATCATATGCGTCGCAATCTTGTTGCGCTCAATAGTTAGGCTTTTTCGTCATTAGTCCCTTAAAATCATAGATATTTTGAGATAGCGCCCTGCAATCACTGGAATCGCGTTCAGATCCCTGATATCTTATGTTATTCTGGAAATTAGACTCTCAAATCATTTCTTAACTAATTTTGAAAACCGATCCCTCCGATGAAGATCAGAAATAGCAAATGGATGGATTAATTGGAAACGCTTTATGAGAATTTGAGAAACTAATTGGGGAACTAAGTTTCCTCTAATTGTTAAGATGTGAGGGACTACTTTTCAAAATAATCTAAGAACTGGGGTGTCTAATTGCAATTTCAATGATTTAGGGCCTAATTTCATAATAATCTAAGATGTGAGGGACCCAGTAGTAATCTCAATGATATGAGGCACTAATTCAAAATATGAAAGATTTAACGGACCTACTTTTTTGAAAGATGTAAGGGACTAATACGAAGGAACACTTAAATAGTTTTTAGACTCATAGAGTCATAGAAAGGATTGTGGATTTTTTTATTAGTCCCTTTATTGTTTAATATTTTGACGTTAGTCCTTCGGATCATTGAAATTGTTGTTAGGTCATCACAGTTTTTTAAGAATATATTATTTCTGTTGTTTAAAATTTTGCCCCACAAATAATGAAATTGCAATCAGGTTTTTTATTAAAAGTTATTCCAAATTAATCCTTTCCATCTGGAGAGCAGCACATCGTGATTCCCTTAAGTATAGGCTTATCGGAGAAACCCCCTTCAATTTGAAGGTGTAATTTCCGCATGATGATTAAAATTATGTAGGAAGATATTTTGTTGGTTAAAGTTGTGTTTCGCTCGTTATTATTTTTTTAATCTTGAAATTTGAAGGGTTTATCTAATAACTTGTCAATTTAATGGGAGTTTTCTGATATTTTCAAAGTCATTTGGGTTACCCGGTAATCTTCCAAATTAAGTGGTGTTTTTTTTTAATATAGCCGTAGAAAAAAGTGTTAATTTCACGTAAGGGTCCGTTTGGATAATGGAAGTATTAGAAGTAAGAAGTAGGTTATAGAAGTAATTTTCAAAGCTATGAAGTAGGAAGTAGTGGAAATAGCATTTTTTTGTTTGTTTTATATATTTTTAGAAGTAATGGAAGTAGAACTTCTTCCTTTTCATTTACTTTTTTTGATTGAATAACATTTGAAAATATTATTAGGAAGTAATTTTATCAATGAAAAGTTGTTAGAAGTAACTAATACGGGAAATATTAATAAAAAAATTATTTATGTCATAATTAATATGCATTTCAACTACTTCCGAGCTACTTCTGAGTATTAAGGATTGGAAAAATATTTTGAAAGTAAAGATGACACGTAGGCGTCACATAAACATTTAGGGAAGTATCGGAAGTAAGTTTTTCAGAAAACCAAACACACTTTTTTGTTTGGAAGTAGCAGAAGTAGCATCTATTTTTTTTACTTCGGTTACTTCACAATTAATTCCGTACAAACAAACAAGCCCTAACTCATAAACTTTAGAGAGTGTTGCACATAACCTATTTGAAATTTGTTTATTCACATAAAACCAATCAATGAAACTTTGAGGTGACTCACAAAACCGTACTAAACGGCTGACTTTTGTCATCGAACCATGCACGTAATTCCCAAGTGACATAGTGAAAGGTTATGTGAACCCTCACGCAACGCCACCCCCACAAAAAAAAAAGAGGAAAAACCACAAAAAAAAGAGGAAAAAAAAAAGAAATTTCCCTTTTTTTTGGTCGTCGGCGCGGCCATCCTAGTTCGGGTGTGGTGGAGGAGGATGATGTGAAATTAACCCAAAAAAAAAAGTTACATGACAAGTCTCGGCGCTTCAAAGAATGGACCCGTTCGTAGTATTGGGCCTTGGGTATACAGTTGGCTAGCAATTGGGTCCAGTCCTAAATCTTGGGCTCAGGCCTCACTCCCTCACCAATCCGAGTAATCTAACCCCGCAAAATCCGACTCTCCTCTTCATCATCATCATCATCATCATGTACTCACACTGCATGCTCTTGTCCTTTCTCGAAACCCCGCATTAAGTAAGACGACCTCCCCCTCTCTCCTCTTGCAGATTAAGCCCAGCCCGTCAATGGCGTCGCCTAGCGAGAGCAAGGTGGACGAGAACGAGGTAACATCGGAGCCCCAGCGAAGAAATCGCCATCGTCGACAGGGCGGCGGCGATGACGAACGAGCCCAGGAGCCTGATCTCGGCTTCCCCCTGGCTCGCCAGTCCTCCATCTACTCCCTCACCCTCGACGAGATCCAGAACACGTGTGCGAGCCCGGGAAGACTTTCGGGTCGATGAACATGGATGAGTTCCTCAGCAACATCTGGAGCGTCGAGGAGGGATTCGCTGCGCCGAGTAGATACTAGCAATGACGTCAACACTCCCGCCAGTGTTCCGCCGGCGGCGGCCGGTGTCGGCGGGGCCCAGCCGCTGCACCGACAGGGTCACTGTCACTGCCGGGCCCTCTGAGCCGGAAGACGGTCGACGAAGTGTGGTCGGAGATTCACAGGGAGCAGGAGGTTCCCTGCGACACGGGGAGGCCCACCACGGGGGCAGCGGAAATCCCGGAAACGCCCATCGCGCAGCCGACGTTCGGGGAGATGACGCTGGAGGATTTTCTGATCAAGGCGGGGGTAGTTCGGGAAGGGTGGGCGCGCCTTCGCCGCATCCTCCTCCGCAGTGGCAATGCAGCAGGGCTATGGCTGGCAATGGGACCCGGCCGAGGGGCCGCGTTTGTGGGGACCAATGGGTATGAGTATCACCACGCCCACGCCACCCCCAGAGGGGCATGGGAAGAGGTACGGCAATGGGTATGGGATGCAGCAGATGAGGGTTGGGCGCCGGTGAGCCCGCGTCTCGTCCGATGGGTGGACAATTCGGGGTACGGCGGCGGCGGAGGAGGGATGGAGGTGAACGGACGGCTAAGATGAATGGGAGGAAACGGGCGGGATGGGGTGGTGGAGAAGGGGTGGAGAGGAGGCAGCGGAGGATGATCAAGAATCGGGAGTCGGCGGCGAGATCTAGGGCCAGAAAGCAGGTGGAGGGTTGTGTGAATTTTGAAATTTATCTGCTTTGTGCCTGTGATATTGGGTTAAAATTGTGTTTCGTTTGATTCTGATGCAGGCTTATACTGTGGAGTTGGAGGGGGAGCTGAATCTGCTGAAAGAAGAGAATGCTCGACTCAGAGAAGAAGAGGTGAGAAATTCAAGAGTTTTTTATGTTAGGATTCAGGATTTAAACCTTAAGGGGTAGCAGAGCTGTTTCTGTTGCTTGGGTTCACATTTGGACTTTGAATCTCTTCTCACTCTTTTCTAGCAGTGGAACTATGCCCTATTAAATTGTGGAGTAGATCGCAAGACAATTTTCATTAATAAAATCAATGCTAGGAAGCATGAATGTTTCGAGGTCTAGAGGTAGTTATGTGTATTCATATATAGGTATGCTTCTCTCGTCAAGAAAGTTCTGAAGACAAAATTGAAATCGAGACATTAAGGTATACAAGTTGGTAGTATTCATATTGATATCAGAAATATGACAACCATTCTAACTTGGCACTTAACTCTAGGCTAGCAACCGGAACGTGTTGATCTGGGAATGTTAGTGACCGTCATAGGCTCAAGGTTCTTCTTTGTAGAACAATATTCTCGATAGTGTATGGCCTCAATTATATGCAAGCGTCGGTAACTTTTTAGACGTCATATTAATATTCCCCGAAATGGAAACAAGACAGAACTCGTTATATTATCATGATTCAAGGGGCTAGTTCTTTGTACTTCGAAAGACTCAGTTCATGGCTCCCTTACTTGATTGTTTTTAGCCAACTGGGCGATGATAAGGTTTCTACAATTGTGATGAATAGAAGTGTAGAACATAAGAATATAGCGTGTGTTACATCAAAACCGCAAAGAAGAAACATCAGTATCCGTATCTCTCGAGTAACCTTTCTAGACCAAATAGAGGATGAGCATAGGCTAGTTGAACCTGATAAGCTCTCATATAGAAAACTTAAATTCCAGCTACAAACCAGAGTCTTTATGGGGTTTTGATTCATATTTAGTCAACTTCATGCGCGACTGAAGGGTTTTTGGGGTTGGTCGCAGCCTTTAATTTAGGCTTGGAAGTTGGAACCTTGCATAATACGACCTGCTGATGATTGAGTTTCTTGCGAATCTCAAAGCTTTATAGAGTACTAAGCACAGATTCAGGCGAAATCTAAGAATAAACGACTGGAGTTGGGTCACAGGTTTGCTGTTTAGGCATTAGATTTTCGGGGTTTGTGGGTGGATTTCAGTGTGTGGATCTTACTCTATAGTAGCACTACTAGTCTAATTCTGATTCTTGAATGATGCTAATATTACAAGGGGATGAGGGTTCTTTTTGTTTACCGAGATATATGTTGTGTATGCCCAATGAATTTCAATTTACCATCAAGGTAACAAAAACTTGATCCATATGAAGGATAAATCAGTAAATATTTTTTATCTACTTTTTTGAGCTACTAAAATGTTTGTATCAGCTGGGTTTAGGATTACTGTTGTGGTTCTATGTTAGCATGAAATCAAATTCACATGTTCTGTTTGGTATAAAATCAAATCTGAACATGTGAAGCGATGTTGGGTATACTTGTTACATTAGCATATAACTGAATAATGGGGTTCTTACTCTAGCGTTTCTAATATTTCTAATCACATTATAACATTGGCGCAATTAATGCAGTAGTTGCTAATATGATTTTTTCCGTACTTTCTATACAGAGAAGGGCACAGACAATGAGGAAGCAAATGGTAACTTTCAAACTATTTCTCACTTCAATTGAATTCATTGTTTGCCAATCCATTTCTGCAACTTTCAAATGTTACTGATCCTCTATTCTTCCATGACTTTCTTTAATAGATAATCGAGTGTATGGCTGAACATGCACGGGCTAATTTAGCGAAGGCTGCACGATCGCTTCGACGTTGCAATAGTGGCCCTTGGTGAAGATATCCTTTCAGAAAGAACCCGAAGCTTACTTTTGTTCAGCTGTAGTTTTTTTTGTATGGAT